ATGGGCCACTGTGTGTGTCAGTGTGTGTCTGTGTGTGTGGCATGCATCGCAATGAGTTTTATGGTAGTCAACATGCAATTGTGCGATGGCTCTTCAGTGTTACCCAACTAACGGCGAGAACAGTGGGAGAAACAGGCGAATTCTGGTGGCAAGTGGATGCCGTGCCAGCGGAGAGCGGGGCAGGCAATGGGCCAATGGGTATATAGTATATGGCATATAGTCTATAGTATAGGCTCTCTCTCGCTCCGTGTTTGACAAAAGTTTTGCCTGCCAAGTTCTAATGAGCAAATTCTTTTGGGCAACAAAAGTCGAGCAAATCCGGTACGCAGCACAGTCGCCGCGTCGCTGCTCAGCCAAGTGGGAGGCGCATTCCATGACAGACTGCGTCTCTCTCACTCTCTTTGTCTCTCTCTCCTCTCTCTCTCTCTGGCACCAACTTTTCTCTACACTTCTTTGCGCTGCTCTTCTCCGAGCTGAGAATGCGGCAAGCGGCCACGGGAAGCGAAGTTTTTGTTCGCACTGAAATTCCGTTTCATATTTAAAAATGCAGCCCACTTTTTTGTGGTGAGTGGGAAATCGTGAGAAATTCCCAGTGCATATATGTATATATGTATGATCTGTTATTTGATGATCCAACTACTTATCGATGGTACCCACCACTTTGAATGTACTATACCAAGGTGCAGGATCACTTTGGCATGTACCTAAGGATATTCTTTTATTTTATTATAATTATTATTATTTTTATTTTTTTTTTTTCCGCTCATTACCGGTTCTTCGCTCTCCCTTTCATCTCTTTCTTTCATCATTTCACCTTTGATTTGAAATTCTGTTTTTGTCTCTGTTTATCAGTTTTCAGTTTTCTTTTATTTTTCGTTTTCCTTTCTTTGCAGCGAATTTCCAATCCGTTGCTTTATTTTTCTGCGTCTTGCTTCGGCCTTTCTTCTTGTTAATTTCCGCTTCCCTTCTTTTGATTCTTTTCGTTTGCTTTCCTTTCTTCTTTTCCTTTCTTTTCTTTCCCTTCGCTTTACTTTCCGTTAATTTCCTTTCATCTCATTTGGCCGCTTTTGATCCGATGCGATGCCATCTCCCGCTCCCGCCGCTGCCCCCTGAAGTTTCCGCTTCTTTTCTTCACGCATTTCGTTTTGCTGCTGCTCCTCGTTCATTGATTCTCCTTCAACTCTTTTGCCCGGCTTCCCACTTTTCCCAGGCACACACTTTCACCCCTTTCACTGGGCCGATGTCGCCTCTCCCGTTGCAACATAAATTCCATCTGTAATCTGTCTTATCTATGCCATTTATCTGTATTTATTGCCCCTCTCTGGTTCTCCTTCGCTCTCTCTCCCTTCCATTTCTGCATTCTTGCTCAATTTTTGATTGCTTCTGTCTCGGCAGCTCCTGCTACATAATCCTGCCTGCCTTCTACCTCCAGTTCCGCTTGCTCCTCCTGCTCCTCCTGTTCCGCCTGCTCCTCCTCCTCCTCCCCCTTCATCAGCGTTGATAGTTTCGTTCATTTCGTTTTAATTCGTTTCTCATATTAGATGTCTTACTTTAAATCCACCTCTCCACCCACCCACCAACTTAACCCTCTCTCTCTCTCCGTCTCTCTCTCTCTCTTGGCACCCATACATACATACATACATACATACTTCCCCATGATTTTCATTGTATCTGGATGAACTTCTTTACGGTTTGCCTCTTCAACTTTACAGTGCTTATCGCCGCACTGCCATAGCCATCGCCATCGTCATCGCCATCTCCATTGCCATCGCCATCGCCCTTCGTACACCCCCCCAATGCGGTACTTGCCCCTCCACGCACAGCACCCATAAACATCTTTTTCCTGGGTCTTTCATTCGCTTTCATTTCAGCTTGTCTAGCAGCAATCCACTTGAAGGATGCCACAATCTTTCGTCTGCCCGTTTTCGTCCGGGTGCTGGGTGCCGGCTGCCGGCGTCCTGGGTCCTGTGTACTGTCCCGGGTGCACGTCTTTGTCTTGGAGCTGGCTGCTCCATGGTAGTGCTGGTCCGTGGCTCCGTCGCTCTGTGGCATCAAACCACAACAAATTGCAAAAAACATTTCCATGCGACTTACTTACGTTTCCTTTGTGGGGATGGCTGCCGCTGTCGCTGTCGCTGCCGCTGCCGCTGCCCCCTTTGAAGCTGTCTGAATGGGCTCTGGATCTGGTTGGTGGATCTGCTTGTGCTTGTGCTTCTGGTGGCGCTGCTACTTGTCTGCCCCACTTAATGCCTATTTATTGCCCCTTTAATCTGGGGCCGACCCAGGAGCGGATTGTGAGCCACAGACTCGAGACTTGAGAGTCAAGACTCGAGATGCGGTTGTGGGCAGAGCAGGACAAGAGGCAAGAGGCAGCCAGGCAGCAGGCAGGCAGCAGGCAGCAGGCAGGCATTCATGTGCACTGGACGATGCTGGGAATCAATGGCATCGAATGGAGTCGCCCATATCCATTCGATAATTTAACAATTACACTAAGCACACACAGACCCACCCACATAAACACACAGCTTACGCACACACATTATCATACCCCCCCGAACCTCACACAAGTGCAAGCAATTATCTAATTGATTTTGGTATTACTAAATTTACCCAAAAATCAAATTAAACTCATTTGTATTACAGTTAAATGATTGTCGAACTCTGTATGTGACCCACGCTCTCTCTCTCTCTCACTCACTCTAACTACCTTTGGGTCTGGCTAGCTCTGTCTCACTCTAATTATGCAGCAGGCGCAAATTAATTTATTTGAAATTTAACCAACTTCGAACTGCAATTGCGATTCCAATTCGAACTTCAAACTCCAATGGAGTGAGCGCACTCGAGAGCTGCCGCTGCCACTGCCGCTGCTGCTGCTGCTGCTGCTGCTGCTGCTGCTGCTGCTGATGATGATTCAACAATTTCATTAAAATGTTGCACACAGCTTAAGCAGCGCCCAGGGAAGGGGCTGGGTCTGGGCTTGGAGCTGCTGTTTGGGTATGGGGCTGAAAACCAATATCAAATATTTAAGCACTTCAAATTGCTCGTTTGCACTTGCCAAAATAACTACGCAAAATTCAAGGCGATGAGGATGATGATGGAGGACATAGCCGAGTAGCAGGAGCGGGGAGCCGAGCCCCAACACCAAAAGATGTTGCTGCTGCTGCTGGTTCTGCGTCTACCCAGTGCTCGTAGAATTCGGTTCGCCTGTTTGTCTGAATGTCAGCCTGAATGCGTAAATCTGTAAGACGCAATTGGGGAAAAAGGGAATCAGTTGAATACCCCCCACACTCCGGCCGCAGACTTTGAATGCCAGAGAGAGAGAGACATGCTGATGAATGAATCACTTTGCTGTGGGCTTGGGTATCCGCTAGTCGGAATGTCGCACTCTGCTTGTTCCTTCGGTGAATGGAGAGCAAAGCAGTGCATAGCAGAGAACGCAGCTACTTAGGCCGCACACACGCACAAACACGCAAATACTGCCCCGCGAAGAGCAACTGTTAACCCATCGCACTGCTTCGCTTCAGTCAGCCACAGCCGCTATCTGTCGCTCTCTATCTCTCTCTCCCTCTGAAGCTCTCTAGCCCTTTTGCATGCCCGTCGCCAAGTTGACTCTCTGTTGCTGGCATTATCAAAAATTTAAAGTTTGCCGTTATATTATATTTCCTTAAGTTGCAAATTAAAACCCCTCAAGAACAGCCGACACAAGCACACAGCCAGACACACACGCACACACTGTAGCATATATCTTTGCGCCAGCAGCATGGTTTATTTAACAAAAACAACAAACAGCCAGCCAGCCAGCAGAGCAGCCCAACCAGGCAGCGGTAGCCTCAGTCTCAGTCTTCGTCTTCGTCTCAGCCAGTCGCTGTCTCAGCAGCAGTAAAATGTGCCTTCTCAGCAGCACAGGCACAGGCACTGGCACAGACATTCCCGTTCCAACCCACACACTCACTCACAGTCAACGCGCTGGGCACATTGAAATTGAATGACCCACTTTTTGGGGCTTGGCGAGGGCAGAGTGACGCCAGCTAAAAAAAGATGAAGCCCCCAAAGAAATCAAATGGAAGAGTTGCGCTACACAAAGGCGCAAGCAAAAAAGCAGCGCCAGAGCAGAGGATAAAAGCCATCAGCAGCCAAAGTGTGTAAATGCAAGGTGAGGCAAATGTCTGGCTCCATCTGAAAGATTTTCAGCTTGCTTTGTTTCACAACAAAACACCCACAAACAGATCGAGAAGAAGAAACACAAGAACAGAATGTTCGGGAAGATCTTACCCTACAGCCATGCATGCACCTTGTCGGCTCAGCAGTTAGCAGACGACGCACGACTGCCATTGAGTGAGCGCAGAGAGTGCAGATTGGAGAGTGGAGTGCGAGTGTGAGTGGAAGTAGGAGTGTGTGAATGCGCAGGGGAAACGAGTGAAAGCTTCGCTGCAAAGGCTATGGTGAGTTTCGTGCCAAAGCAAACCGAATCAAGGTGAGGCTTTTACGCACCGACGCTATAGGGCTGCCCGGGTATGCCTCACCTTGCCCGGTCACACCTTGAGCCCGGGCACTCACTCTCACTCACTCTCACTCGCACGCTGCATAAGCTCTGCTTGAGCTGGGCTCACAGCTTCGGCTGGCTTCGGTTGGCTTCGTCTGGCCTCGGCTTTCGGTCGGATTTGAGTCTGAGCCGAGGCTGAGCCGAGACTTGTTCTAGTCACCACCCACAGTCACTTTTGAAGGTGGTGTGTGGTGGTGGGTGGGGGGAGACTATAGGGTGATGGCATGTGGAATGTGCGGACATTACAATTGTAAGCATCAATGTATGCGTTTGTATCTCTTTCTCTCAATGCCTCTGCGCCACCCCTCCCCTCGCTCACTGTTCAAGTGTGTGTAAATATCTCATTGTGTGTGTGTGCGGCGCGTGTTTGTGTTTCTAAGTTCGTTTGCTGCCTTCCTCTGCCCTGCCTGTGCCTCTGCCTCTGCCAGTGTGCTTCGGCCTTAAAGTTTTTGCGGTAATGGCGCTCTGGGATGTCGACTGCCGCCTGATGGACTGTCGACGCCTGGGCAGAGTAAGAAAAGCCAGGACAGGGGCCAGAGAAAGTTGCCAAGCTGGGGTTGTCCACACACAGCATGGCATGTGCAACAGAAGGTTGGGGCAGCCATCCTTTGTGTTCTACTCCCACTGCAGACTGGCAGACTGCCATATGGAAGCCGATCTTACCTTACCTTTACCTTCTGTCTAATATACCCTGGCCCAAGGCAGCAGAGTCAGCGTATACTAGTTCCTGCCTCTGCTACAAGCTTTAACGTCGGCCCATTAGGCGGCGAGTGCGTATTACTTATGTAGCTGTAAACTTGCCGCTCGATTGTTTGCTTTTATAGGAGCTACAAACGTTTTTTTTTTCTCTCTCTCTCTTTCTGGACATCCCTCTATACAAACACACACAGACACATACAGCCGCCTACAGCAGCATTCTTGCAGCGTTCATGGCACGCTCATCTGCGGCCGGAGCTCGTGGAATAATTTTAATTGAAATTACGAAAAAGCAAAATTACATGCCGCCCCCGAATCCGGCACCCAGTCCAGTCCATTCCATTCCTTTTTCGTTCATTTCTTGCCCCCACTCCGTTGCGGCTTAGTAGTACAGTCCGGTCTGGTGCCGGTGCCAGTGCCAGTCCCGGACTCCAGCTTGGCTAAATTATCATTTTAAATCATTTGCGAGGCGGCTTGCAAAAGTATGCAAATAAAATTCAGGCGATTATAGGGTGCCCAAACGGGTACTGAAATGGAATAGTTCGCAAAGTCCTCCAAAGATGCTTATCTATTGGATTTTGGTTATCTCGAAAAGTTGACCTGGAAACGGGGGGCAGCTGTACCGCTCGGTCTTTCATCTTTTTTAATCGAAAATATGCCGGTGGGAAAACTTTGGAAAGCTATTTGTTTTGCGTGGTAGTCGAGGTGTTCTCTCTCATCCGACCGAAAGGTACAGCATCTATTTAATCGAATCAAGTGGCTGGAACTTTGCATTTTGCTAACGATGCTCTGGAGGTTGCGCTGCCATTGGAGCTGCAAGAAGTGCAGCTTTACTGCTCTCACAGGGGCACTGGCAGCTTGACAACGAATGTACAGTTCGTTCGGTACAGTGGGCTCATCTTAATCAGCAAGCAGTGCAATTGCAAGCAGCGCGCCAAGTGCATGGTGCACTGGAAACAGTACTTAACCGTGAACTTCTCGTTGCCCTGTTTTTTTTTTTTATTTTTTTTTTTGGGTTACTTTTGCCATCCGTTGACTGTTCCGCTGTTTTGCGGAATGCCGTAGTTCCGTTTCTCGTCCGTGCGTCCGTCCATCTGTTTGTCCGGGTGTTCGTGTGTCCGTTCGTTCGTCTGTCCGTCCGCTTGTCTGCCAGAATATCTTTCGTTCTATCTTTTGTTTTTGCTGTGTGCCTTTTGGACCATTTTCTTTTTGTTTTCTTTTATTATGAAAATTATTTCGTGCATTTTGGCCTATAAAGCGGGCCTAGCCGGAGAGAGGGAGCCGTAAAAAAAGCGGAGCATGAAATGAAAATCGCATAGCAACGGACACAGTTAGAGCGGGATCAGGAGCACTTACAGTTACAGTAGCCACAGGAGCACCAGGAGCACCAGGAGCACCAGGACGACGAGCCGGCAGTAAAACAAAAAAAAAACAAACTCGATGTTGAATAGAAAAAATGTATCACAAAATGAAAAGATAAAAAAGATAAAAATAAAATTAGTTTTAATAAAGTCAAAAAGCCACAGGAAGCGGCCATAGAGCCATGCCACAGGGTGGCTTGGCGTGGCGTGGCGTGGCCAAAGTAGAAGTGCCACCGAGCCCTGCCACAATGGAAGTTAAATTTGAAAAGCAAATGAACGGAACAGAAGGGAGTGGCTCGGGTCGCAGGCAATGGAATCGAATAAATGTGGGCGAGAAAAAAAACACGCGCAAAGATTAAAAATACTAGCCATGAGCTCTGAAAAAATATTAAACAATTGCAGGAATTATGAATATAAATTACAGCACCCTGGCAGCGCACCGACCAGTGACCCCACCCGTGGCGATGGTGACTTATTTATCGGGACTGGGCTTTAATTAACTGTGGGACTAAGCTGCATGTTAAGCACTGCTAGGCGCTCGGTGGCAGTTCCACACAATTTGAATACTCCCAGTGATCGGAGCAGGAAACTGCATCGGAAAAGCGATGAAAATCCCGCTTAGCCAGGCCAAATAATTGATGATTCCATTATGCATGTATTTCTATTGTAAATTTGATAAATTTGTGTTGATTTCCACGGAATTTGCTGCCAAAACGGGGCGAATTTGAACAATGCCCATCGAGTGCGGGGGGGATACCATTTGGGCTGCTTATCAATATTTAAGCAACTCTTTATCACATTTCATCGATTGTCAATAGGCAATGGGGCCTGGCTCAGGCTCTGGTACTGGTCCGAGTCCACTGGCTCTTCATCTGCCATCGGGAGTGACGAACTGTCGGATGGAGTGACGGAGTGACGGAGTGAGTGAAGGACTAACCAACCGAGACTAGGGTGCTTTCCTACCGGCTACATAACCGCCTATGTGGATCCACTTGTTCACATGTTTGTATATAACTAACTAACATTACACACACACACACACACACACACACATGTGGATGGAGAGCTAAGCAAATATGAAGGGTGCCGTTGGCCGTTGTTGTTTTCCTTCTCATCCCACTCATTCTCATTCCCAATCCCAATCCCATTCCCAATCCCTATCCCAGTACCCGTTTCCGCATCCTCTCTTGTTCGTCCCGCTGCTGTTGTTCCTGTTTACCCAAACTATTTGCCCACAGTCCTCTCTTCCTCTTCCTTTCTCTCTCTCTCTCTGTGCTGTGCTGTGCTGTGCGTGTGTGTATTCTAGAGTATTATAGGGTATACAGTATATATAATCCTAAACTTCCATATGTTCCATATTCTATAGATCTCAATGTCTGAGCTTCTGGCAGTTGCTGGCTGAGATCTACCTCTTTGTGAGTTCGCAAATGAATTTCCGATTGATCTAATCCGGCAAGGGTATCAACACTATCGGCATTCGACTGCGGAACCCTCTGTTCTTTTTTTTCTGTTGTTTTTCTTTCCATTTGCTGGTATTTGTCTGACGACGACGGCAACGCTGAGCAAATTGAATGGAGTCCATTGGCCTGGCGCGCGTAGGCCCTGCTCGGATCCGGAGATGGCAAATGGGTGTGGAACGGCAACGGCAACGGCAAAGGCAATAGCAGAACAGAACCCGGAACAGCTCTAGACGCTGCAAGGACAACACTTAGGTGAGTTATCCTAATAAGACAGAACTGCCACAACAGAACGGAACAGCATCAGAGGCAGAAGCAGAATCAGAATTAGAAACTGAAACAGAAGCGGCAGCAGCAGCGGCAGCCGGAGATGGAGACACAGTTAGAACAGGAACTGAAGCCGAAGCAGGAGCCGGAGCCGGAGCCGGAGCCCTGCCAAAAGCAGTCAACATCGTCCAGTCAAGTGTCGCAAGGCGTTGGGACAGCCAACACTGCACAAAATCATCTCTAGAACTTGCCCAATGCACCCTCATAGCACAGAGCAGGACTCGACCGTTTCTCTCAGTGTACGCGGCAATGGGGTGCTTGGCATTTATGGTGTGACTCGGCTGGGCAAAAACCTTAGTGCAACAATGAACTGGGTCCGAGCCATGGCATGGCAGGGCAGGGCATGGCAGGGCAAGGCAGGGCAGGGCTGTGGGCTATTTCGATTGCAGCAGCAGCAACAGCAAACGGCACAAGCTCCTTCTCTGAGGCTGCTTGTGGCACGGCTCGGCACGGCACTCTCGCAATTGCTGGTTGAGGCTGGTGCTGGTGCTGATGCTGAGGCAGTGCGCTTTACGGTCAGGTTTCCAGCAGTGCTTTTTCTCACCCCGTCGCCGTCTTCGTTTCCATCTGCGTTCCAATCTCAGTCACCGCGTCCGTGTTGGGGCCATTGAATGTGGCACACAAGACGCCGAGGCGATGGCGAATCGGATCGGAACTGTTTAAGCTGAAACGGCTTTCAGTTTATTTTATGTTCGCGCCGAGCACCCCCGAGCACCCCTGAACCCGCTCAGCTGCAGTTAAGCACACATCTGTTAATAGCATTTTTACCCTCTGAGACATGGTCTCCGAGCGGTCCAAAAGAAAAGGTCCCGCATTGATTTATGGCACCAAAGCTTTCGAGGCGAGTACAAAGCATTTTCGGGCGCAGCATTCTGCCCGGTCGTAAGGCCAACTTCATTTTTCAAGTCTAAACAAGTGTCGTCTCAAGTTCGAGTTAGTTCCGAGACGGCCAGCAGTACTGTCCAGCACTCGCAGATAGGCTGTGCCGCTCTCTCGCGCTGCCCAACACTACGCTGCACTGTGCAACACTGCAATTCTTACTTTGCTTTTGTTTTTGAAATGAAAAAAAAACCGGGAAATCTTAAATAAAGACAGAAACCGGAAGGAACGAGAGCCACAGGTAGCTCGACATAAATCCAAACCGAATGGATGGAAAGGCCCCCAACATTTCATCTCCTGCCAGTCAAATTCCGTGTCCTGGGCTGCACAGATGCTCTATCTCCCCGCTGATCTATGGCACATGCCATGGCCGGTCTTGACTTTGGGGCTCTCGCTCTCCCCCTGCCATTGCCCGGGGCATCTTTTTGTTTCGAAGTTTTGGCCAACTCTCATTATACGCATAATAATGGTCAAATAACTATGGAGATTTTCACTTGCCCCACGGCTGCTGCCCCATTGCTGCTGCACTGACAAGGGGACGCGACTCAAGAGCAGGCAGATTGAATTAGGTACGTGCAGCAGTACCCCCCGGGAGGGAGGCAAGGGTAGGGTGCATCAAGTCTCTTAACAAAATGTCGATTATATATTTTGACGTAGTTTTAGGCGAAACACTAGACCCACGCCCACGCCCCAGCCCTCGCCCCAGCCCTCGACCCACGCCCTCGCCCTTGCCGTCTTGACTCGGGTCCATTCCCAGACAAATGCTACGTGCTCCGTGGAGTGGGATTTTC